CTTTCCTCTCCCTTTCCTCTCCCTTTCCTCTCCCTTTCCTCTCCCTTTCCTCTCCCTTTCCTCTCCCTTTCCTCTCCCTTTCCTCTCCCTTTCCTTTCCCTTTCCTCTTCCTTTCCTCTCCCTTTCCTTTCCCTTTCCTCTTCCTTTCCTTTCCCTTTCCTCTTCCTTTCCTCTTCCTTTCCTTTCCTCTTCCTTTCCTCTTCCTTTCCTCTTCCTTCCTTTCCTCTTCCTTTCCTCTTCCTTTTTTCCTTTTCCTTTTTCTCCTTTTCCTTTTTTACAGTTTTCCTTTTTTCTTTTCCATTTTTCCTTTCCCATTTTCCTTTTTTCCCTTTTTCTTTTACTTTTTCCCATTTTCCTTTTTTCCATTTTCTTCTTTTTCTTCTTCTCTTTCTTTTCTTCTTTCTCCTCCCTTTTCTTCTCCCTTTTCTTCTCCCTTTTCTTCTCCCTTTTCTCCTCCCTTTTCTCTTTTTCTTTTCCCCTTCCTTTTTATTTTTTTTTAATCACTGGAGACAAAGCCCTGTCTTTCTACTTAAGTCCAATCTTTTTCTTAAAGTGGTTCAGGGCTCTTCATCTAGTGTGGACTTCCGATTTTTGCTCCAGAACATCCCTATTTTACAGCCTTTCATTTCCCATCACACAGAGAAAAAACACTCATGTAATTCTTCAACTTTTTAATAGCAACTGCTATGATTGGCTTTTCTTGGCAGTTGGAATAGGTAATAGGTAATCTTGCTTGCTCTTACCCATTCAAATGAAGCAACAAAGATCATTCTCCTAGTATGACAAACAGACTTCTGCATGCATTTATTTTTCACTTGTCCTCTGACTGTATATTCTCCATCTCATTAACGCACTTGTCTTCATTATGAAGGCTCCTCCAAGCCCACTTCAATGCTACTTTTCATTTCTTGTTGAGTACCAAGTGCCATCTGCTTCCACTTGGTGAATAATGCCAGTTTGAAAATTAAAGATGTAGAATTCAAAGTGCCTTCCCTCTCTCTCAGGCAGCCCTCTAACGTGTTTGGAAGGTGTCATCCTCAGACATCTGCAAAACCACTGCGTTGGTCTCCTTCCCACTCTCTCTGTTGCACTGTCTACTCCGAGCATGTCGGTGGTTCCAGGATTTGTTTACTGTTCCTCTGGCTGGAGAGACTATGATCTTCTGAGTTCTTTTTGTTCCCATATCTTCCTGCAGCTATTCTATTGTCTTTTGTGGCTCCTATTCATCTTGTAAGGTGGTGAAAAGTTGTCTTCCTGGGGTGTTTACACAGCACACACAGATCAGTGAGGCCTTTGAACATGCCATGGGCATCTGGGAGCTACAGTAATGCAAATTATAGTAATAATAAATGTACAGTAGTATATACCTGTTATCAGTAATGTTTATCTTAGAATAGCAACATGAGGTGAAATACATTCATATCAGAGATCAAATGCCTAGTATTTTGGTGCTTTGCCTTGCAGCAGTGTTTTGCTTTAAAGTGTCATGTTTCTACAAGAAATATTTATGGAAAATGCCTTTTAAAAAACTGCAGTTGTTTGAGGTACTATCTCATAGCCATCAGATAGAAAAGACAGCAGATAAAATTTATTTAAATGACTAATATGCCATTTCTTGAACAGAATATGAGGGAGCTTGCTTTGTATTGAGAAGAACATAGTCCCAAGTCTGAGGCAGACACTGGTAACTGAGCCTCCCAGTGCAGGTCTCAAAGCAAAAGGGTCACATTTGCAAGATGGAAAGCAGTTTATGTTACTGTAAATAATTGAAGAACTTGAACTTGCCGCAAGGTAGCTATTTTCCTATGCAGCCTACAAGTCAACTCATAAATACTAAACTTCTCATCAGCCCTCCAGTTGTTAAACACAAGGCACTGATCTGTCTCGCAAGCTGCAGGGCTTCTTTAATAACTGCTTGACATCTACAACAGCAACACAAGTTCTGACTAGCTACCCATTCAAAGTAATCACTGATTGTAATATGACATTGTAAGGAAGAAATTGGACCTGCCCAACAATCCTTCCCTTCATTTTTAAATTATAATCTAAGTGATTAAGATCAGTTCACTAGACTTGTAGTTGCACCTGGAGGAAAGGAATTCAGTCACATGTGTAAGTAAATTCTCTAGAGATCACTACAGGGAAATGAAAGGAATCACAGCTTTGGAAGGATGTAAGTGAGCGTAGATTGGAGGCTTTGCTACTGATTAAATGTGTACCAGAAATCAGCAAAGCTCAGGGCAATTGTCAAAGCCATAAAATATTGGAAGGTAGGTCTTCAAACAAAATAAAAAACTGTCATCTCTTTCCTAAATGTAGTAGTTAAAAAATTAACTAATCAAAGACAAAGTGTTGAGTCCAAATAAAACATAAGTATTCTTGTAAGGCTTTTCATCTGAATTATTTCTGTGTAAGCCTTCATCAAAATTTTTGCTAATTTGTTTTTTCAATACTTTTTCCCATTAAAAACTGTCTTTATTATAGATAAAGTTTAGAGGAAGAATTTATCTACTACTGAATTCTTAGCTTTTGTGGATTTTTTCAGCTTTGTGAACCAGCTGATAATTAAAATTTCCTCATCACAGTTAGAAAGACTGCTTTTCTTTTGATATTCTTGCTTCTTAGAATAGTAAAAATTTATGTGGGCTGGGTGCACAATAAAACATGTAAATATTAACTAAATCCTTTTTGAGTGCTGTGCAAATGTTGAAGTTCTATTGTCTTCAAAGTGTTTTCACTCTATGGCAGGATCTTGAAAGAAACTTAACACTATCTAATTTTTATGGGTGTGGAGTTCTAGTGAAAGAATGATACTTCCCATGGGAAAGAGAATCAAAGTAGGCTTTTGTTTGTTTGTGTGTGTCTTAGTTATGGCATTTACATTTTTCTTATAGATCGACTGCAGACCTACTATGTTTGTCTGTTACCTGAAACTTTCAGGCAACACAGTAAATAAAACTTCTTTCATATGTTGTCATTGCTGATTCTTTAATTCCAGGAATATTCAAGACCGATCTTTCCTTAAAGTTTACAACAAAGACCCTGCACATGCATTTAATCACACTTCCAGAGCTGTAAATGGAGATATAAGGGTAAGTACTAATGATGCATTTCTACTCCTTTTTCCTCCAGCTTTTCTGCTAAATGTTCTAACTCTGAAATGTAGTATGTACATAGCAATTCAGAAAATCTGGGCTATATGTATGGCACATATATAGAAAAGGGAATAAATAATGCTTGTTGTAATGTGTTTTAACTGCTTTTCTTGTTCCAATTATTTGCCATGGGCATTAACTGTTTTTTTGATTTTGTTTAAATGCACTAAAGCATGTGAAGCAAAACATATAATTTAATTATGTATTTTGTGAAAAAGACAGTTCTCAGAGTTTTTACATCTTCCTATTCTGTGTTTGCAAACCCTTTACAGTGAAGTATGGTGTTAGTACACTTCAGCAAAGTTTCAGCAGGGATTGGTTTCCAGTCACTGAGCAACTGTACCTCACTTCAAGTCTACTGAAACTCTTTGTAAATGATGGTTTTGGATAGTAAATTCTGATAAATACTCATTGTGGTGTAAATAGTTTTGCCTTTTCTTACATTTTCTACTTGCACTCAAAAAGGATGAGTATATTTGTATTTTTAGGTGAATGTTTTGTATTAGGAAGCTACAGAGAATGCATTTGGAACATTTGATTTCTCTCTCTCACTGTGTTTGCCTTTTGCTGCACTGCTACCTCCCACCTTGGTGCCAAGAGGGCAGGAGATGCAGCTGTGGGACAGCTTCCACCATGTTACCTGCGCTGGTGTTGCAGTAGCAGGGGTGGTGGTGAGATTACACAACCTCATCTCCTCCCCACCCATCCTAGGTCTGTCCACAGGAAACAGTACAACCAAATTAATCCCATGGGGCCAGAAGAGAATGCCACTACTGTCCTACCTGCTTTGTGGCTTTTACATGAGCTCCAAAGCTGATTCAACTGTGCAGAAAATTTCCTGTGATTTCCTTAACTGTGTGTTTGCTACTTGTTTTCATTATCAATTCTGAGCATGTCTCTCTGCTTTATTACTAATCTTCTGTGTAAGTACTTCTTGTGTTTCAACAGTTTAAGGCCACAATATTTTAGAAATATTGAAATAATTTATTTACAGGCACTGTTCTCAACCGCCTCTCATTTATGCACTTCAGTTATAAAATGGTCCTTTGGATAGGTCAGAAATCTTAATTACTTGATTTTTCACACTGCTGCAAACACAACATGAGAAAAGAAATAGCTATGCTTCAAAGGGAAGATGTGATAGTTTTTTGTGCATTTTGTAACATGCTGAAATTCTTCAGTTCTAGTTATATTCCTGTGGCAGTAACTGGATGTATCTGATACATCTCATTCATATTCAAAAGCATGACATACTGTCACTGTGCATTATGACATTAATGCTTGTAACTGTGGCTTTATAAAGTTATGTTATACTGCTCTTGTTCCATGTACAGTGGATGCTCAAGGATTCACTGTGGCTTTTATGTGTGTATTCTAGGCCTATTTGAAGGTGCTATTGTAGTTAACACATATTTCAAAGTAAAAATTACTTCTTTGGCTGTCTTCCAGGCATTTGGTGCCCAGCCGAGTTGTTTTGAACACAGGTGCTGCCTCTGTGCAAAAACTGCAATTATTTGAATTGCTTATTTTATAATCCTATGTTGTACAACAGATATGCACATTCAACATCTCCTGATTATATCTGAGTTAGCACCTTTTGGCCATAACTATAAAACAGTGGTGACACAGTGACAACCTTTGCAGAGGTGATGTTTTCATGGCAGAATATTGTTTTTTACTTTACAGAAATGCAAAGAGGTTGCTGTGAAATTCTGTGCATCCAGCAAGAGCTATTTTCTTATTTGGCTTTTGCTTTGCATTGGCAGATTTCTTGTCTTTCTGGTCTGAGAGGTGAAGTCAGAGCCAGGATGTTCATAGGGCCTTTGTGGAGAAACATGCAAAAAGTCTTCCCTTTGATCTGTGTGAACTTCTGCACTTCAAAGTTATGAGCATGGAAACAAATGATTTCTTCAGCTCAGAAATACTGAAACCTGTTTTTCTAAGGATGTGTGTCTTTTGGTTGGGTTATTTCTTATGCAGCAACATTTAGGTCCTATCTGAGGCTCTTCCCAAAGTCATGACACTCTCCAGTGTTCATCCTCTGGGCTCTAAAAAATTGGAACCCACACTGCAGCCATTTCTCTGTTTGGCAGAAGTACAGTAGGATCTTCTGTCAGATCACTAATTTGGCAAAATTTATAGGGGCATAGTAGTCTTTCTACTCATTGGTTAAATCTGGTTGAAATTTGCCTGGGGATTCACAGATTGTTAGTTCAGCAGAAAAAAAAAAACAAACCACCAATAGCCATATGGCTTATTTATCCCTCTTTCCTTAGCAAACCAGAGTAAAGGAGGGGGAAATGTGAGGGTTCTAAGTGAAAAACATGTACATTTTATGTACTGCTATTGAAGAGTACCCATAAGATTGCAGAAAAACCTTTGCTTCTTAACTCTCCTTTTATGTTTGCATATCTTTGCATCAGGCTAATTGATGGTCATCAATTTCATATGATATATGAATGCTAAATTCACTACAGTGGGAAGGAGGGAGTGTGTGCTTGGCATCATGTTTAACTGTTTCAAAATACCTACAGAAAAGCAGCTGATTGTCAGACCATTGAAAAACAGTATTTAGAATATAATGAATTAGTCATTGTAAGTATATTTTTCCATGGTGATACTCTGAGTCTGGTTGTATCTCCTGTCATCTGTGAGTTAAACCTTTGTTTTTTGATGATGGGGAAAGTTTTGCCTTTACAGATTTTTCTATTGTTTGTCTTCTTGTCCCTTTGGAATGTTTATCCCTGGATTTGATGACATTCAGGCTTCTATTCACGTGTTTTATAATAATTTCCATGTAACTGGCCCAAAATAATCTAAGAAAATATTGTTAGCTGCCAGCTTGAACACCTGTTTTAACTACCAAACAGATGTTAGACCTGTATAAGAATTGGCAGTAACACTTAAAGTATTAAGTATTACCCATATGGACAAGAAGACTGTGGGATCTGTAACTTTCAGATCTTCTATTGAACCATTCGGGTTTTGTGTCCATTAATTCTGATTTTCCTGCTCTTTGTTTCATGCTTTTTTTCTGAGTGGGTTGTGTTTGAGAAAAGGGAATTGACAGAGGGTCCAAGCAGCTCTAAAGGAAAGTTTTTCTTGAAATCCTTCTGAGTGCCTTGCTTGCTTACTGGTCTTGGCCCTTTCCATCTCAAAGAGCATGGTCTGTTTGACAGGTCTGCCATGTTAAATGCTGCTAAGCAAGAAGCAGCCACATAGTGCTGTCTCACTGAATATTTGTGCTTGTGCTCTTCCTTTTTTATTTTTCCTTTCCCAAATGTACTCTGATAACCTGCAACAGCTGGGATTTTTTTTTTTTTTTTTGAAAAATATATCTTCACATTGCTGCCTTTCATTCATTTATTCTTTCACTTGAGCTGGTATCATTTCCAGCACTTTGTAGCTGTCTGTGCAACAGTACTTTCTTCCGACAAAACACTTCCTTACATCTTAGGAACAAATGTTTTGATGGTCTATTTTCCCCGTCATTGTTCTGAATTCCAGTGTAAATGCATGTACCCAGCCATGCTGCTCTGTGCCCATGGAATGGCCATTTGTGATTTGCATGGGTTGGCAGGGGAAGGGCCCAGGCTGGCACTCACTCAGCCATGGTGCATAGATTGAATGCCAGGAGATGGCTGTATGGAACTGACTGTGGGGTTTGATGTGTTGAGTGAATGGACACAGCTCCTTCCATCCTGGGCTGTTGAGCTGAAGAGATTCCCCCACTTAATGTGCACAGCATATTTTCTGTCCTCATTCTCTACACCCTCCTTTCCTGGAGTGGCTAAAGGCTAAAGAAACTGAAGTTACAATCTCCCCCTCTGTTATAGAAACTAGTCAGTGTTTCTGGTGGCACAGCTGGATACTAATAATGTTGGCTTATGCAGTGGTTTGTTTTGGGCTTCACCTACCAGCCAATTTTGAGAACTGGGAAGGAATTTTACGTCATAAAAACTTGTGGCTATTTTGCTTGGCAGTCTTCTTCTTCCCATCCACCTGCCCTAAAGTCTGTGAGGTACACATTATTTTGAAGTGTCCTAGACCTACCATGGTTTTACTTAATTGTCTGACTCGCATAAGATCTCTGCTGGGTGAGGTCAGAATATCCAAAGAATACTTGTTGTGGCTGTTGTTGTATTGAGGTATGCTTTTGAGATGTTTTAGATTTTTTTTTTTTTTTTTTTTTTTTTTTTTTTGAGACCGTTTCTCCGAGAAAGAACAATTAGGGCAGGTTGAGTCAGAGCTGGGTTGGGGCAGTGCAGAGTACCTGGAAATTCCACGTTTTGTGGGAGTTAGAGTGGCAAAAAGATGGTAATGTTCCTGACAGCAGTGGGGTGTTTTGGCTGCCACAGTGAGAGGAGTTGAGTTGTATAGGAAAATGAGACAGACATTTGTTAAGTTGTGTAAACTTGTGATAAATAGCTTTTATTATTGAAACTGCACACCTCCAACTTTTCATTTTTCTCCTGAAAGTGATTGGTTAGTAGGCTGCCAATATTTTAGCTCTTTAGAGCTAGATATAATGTGTGAACTTAAAAATACCCTACAAGTACTAGAAACCTTCAAACAACTGCCCAAGAATTTAAGGCTTCCAAGGAGGCTAAAATTCAGTGTTGTTTTGCAGAAAAGATAGAGAAATAATAAAAGCAGAACAAGTCTTCTGTCTTCTTAAGGTACCTGTAAACATACATCCAGCATCTTCATAGGATAGCTTCTGATCATAACATCAATAAACATAAAAGTTGCAAATGCTGCCACAGTTATATCTTTACATTGCATACTGCAGCTGAAAAAAAAGAGCTCTTTGCATTACATAGAGGTATTTAGAACAAAAGTATTTATTGGAAAATAATTCAAGCAATAAATTGGGTGTATGCATTTTAGCGCTAGGATGCCTATAGGGCAGTATTTATATAAGTTGCCTTGTGTTT